AATAATGGCTTATTGTAGAAAGCCTATATTTTGGCGTCAGTTCCGGTAGGTTAGTCATAGGATATATGGAAACTCTTTATCGAATTTAAAAACTAGAAACAAAACCTGCAGTTTAAATTTTCTCACGAGACGTCGAACCATCGATGGGCCATCTGAAAAAGGGAATAAAACTGAGAGAACTGGTAAAACAAACATTCCCCCCGTATCGTGGTCGTGTTTCGTTTTCTAAAAGATTCACGTCGGTCCGTAACCCCTGAGGCAAATTCGGACGGAGGTGATTCCGTCGGTACGCGGTATGCACCCTTGGGAAATTGAAAACCACTTTTAGAGAATGAGACTTCCCTGCCAACAAGCTGGTCTGCCGCAATCATCCATGTGAGACTTTTCCTCCACTGTGTCCGGGTGTGGCTGCAGATCTTCCGCGCGACGTCGCTGAAAGTCTTTCTCGCTCTTTCTCTCTCTTTTACTCCAGCTTTTATTTTTCTCTAACCGTTACGTTTCGGACTGTTTATCCCCCAGATAATGAACACGATCGTGTCCCGGAGACAAGTTCACGGATTGAAAACACGATGATTGAGTCTGCAGGAAACGGGGTATGTCGACCCCGCGCTGTTTACAAATACGTAATGACTTCGGAACGGCCGTCGTCCAGTTGCACTTTGCACTAAACACGTTTGCAAATAATCCTGATCCAACCAATTATTCGTTCATTAACCGGAGTGAACTCGTTAGTCAAATCGTTAACCTCCGACCTAATTTTCAAGGATACGAATAATCCTTTTAATTGAAATAATAATGATATAATAAACGACAACAAAAGAGACGTATTTCCAGGTCAAAATCGGTTGAAGGACAACGTCGGAGGAACGATCTTCTAATTTAGATCCTGCTTAATTAAATGAATCAAAAGAACGAATACGTCGCTAACAATTCCTCGTGTTATTCCGTGACTGCGAAAATTATACAATCTTCTCGTGCTTGACGCTAACGTTATCGCGATCGCACGCGATTGCGAAAATTAAGAGACAGATTTGACAACGGAAGTGGACAAAGACATTTTATCGCCTGGCCCACACACCTCCCAACAAACCCGTCGTATCTGTTCGTTCCTTCTACTGGGTTTTTTTTTTTTCGTTGTTTTCTATGTATCTTTCAGGGACTCTTAGTGTAGCGTTTTTGTGTGGGGCAGCAAAAACAGCAGCGGGGTTGATAGCCGGGTTTCGTGCAGCACAGCTTGTCAGCAGGGTGGTGTACGTGTCATTCGTAAGAGATATCTTTTCTCAACTACATCTTATTTACAAGAACGTGATCACGTTCCATTTCCATTTCCTCCATTTTTTCTTCACTTCAATCCAATTGGATCCAAAAATTCCTCAATTAACGATATATAAACATTACATGGTTCGCGTATGATCGTTGCATAAATATTAATAAATTCATTGAACAATAAGACCTGATACAAATTGTACAATTTTATATAATCATTTCGTACTTATATGATTATCTAGTTACATATATTGGTCAATTGAAAATGCTATAATATATTAATGTATATGTTCACGTATTAATTTCAACAGGTGAAATATCAATAATATCAGAACAAATATTTAATAATATTTTTTTATATCTCGGAAGGAAATGGAACGTGCACACAGCTGCAAAAGTATTTGTAATTATTATGACCTAAGTACCGAACAGGTGATTGGTGTATTGCAACTAGTTCTTTGCACCTGGATAGCTGCGATAGGCTGCTAGAAAGAGAGAAATAGAACAGTGGTGTTTTGGTGATGTTAACAAGAATTTTGCCTCGTGTACTACTCACTACACACTACAGAAACGGCTGAACATCATACAGGAGATGTAAAATATGGACGAACACAAAAGCGACAAACATGGGACGAGAACTATACGATTGTTGGGAGAAAATCAAGTAATAATAAAAGAAAGTAATTACATTGTAAAAAGATCGGGAAACAATCGGAAAAATTCAAAGGTAAAGGAAAAGACGTCGAAATAAACATTTGTATGGTAGTTATATAGGAGACGATATCACGCTCCATCTTTTTTTCATAAAACTAAAATGTAAACTGATTAAATAAATACGTAAAGAAAGAATATATTATTATTATGGAATATATATAAGTAAGAAAAAAATATTGTTTCATATAATATCATATGTATTATCATTTTAGTATCGTGACGTTTAGTCAAGTTTAATTAACAACTCACAGGTGTAATATTTGCATGACAGATGTTATTAAATGACAAAGGGTTCATCGTACTCCTAGCACAACTATCATATAATTCTAACACTGCGCAACAATTGGCCAATATTATTGTTCCGTCTTAATCTGCCTTCACGCGCGATGACATTGTGTGTATAAATACACATTCGTGATATAAACCGGCATTATGTAAAACTCGATACATGTTCAATAGTGTGTGAAGCACGTAAAGGGACTATTGCCATCAAGGAAGAAGACCGACGATGTACATACTCGACGTAGATTGGCGAAAAGCAGCGCAGCGCAGCAACGAAAAGCTTCTTTTGACACAAAACTAGGAAACTGAAAGGGAGGGTGATGATAAACATGAAAGAAAAGAGAGAGAGAAAAGTGAGACTAAGAGTAAGAGAAAAGGAACTACGCTTTCAAGGGTAAAGGAGAAACGAAATAGGAAGAAAACAAAGATTGAAAAGGAAGAGGCAACAATGTGCGGTCGAGGGGAACATGACTGCACTTCGAGTCTTTTGTTCTTCGCGGGCGACATCCTTAGCCTGCACAAAAGACTTTCCGAAAGTATCGCGCGAAGCGTATCGATATTTTCCTCTATCCGTTCGATTTCTCGAAACTTTTGAATTTTCGTCCGTTCAGCCGTATTTTTGATAGAAAAAAGTACAGTGGGACCGTTATATAATCGTAATCAAGAGATTTACAGGAGATAGAAAGAAAGTGGAGATTAACAATGTGAGAGTATAAATGGAGCTACCCTGGTAGAAATATATGCATTTTTCTTCGATACTTTTAATTATAATATTTAGTATTATTATATTCTCATTATGTTATAACTAAAGTATTACGTAAAAAATAGATAAGAACTTGACAGAGTTTTATTCAGTAACTGAAACATTTCCCTGATAAAAATAATATCCAACGTAAATATTTGTCCAGTTATTATCTAGTAGTATTAATAGATTATTATTAATTAAAATAGCACAGTCCATTTACTATCCTGTTTTATTATTTTATTTATTGTTATTATTGTTATTATCTGTCTGTAAACGGATTCAGATTTTGCAGACTTTTTATGTACAGGAGCTGCAGGCAAAGTATTATATTTAAATTGAAATCCAAATAATTTTATTTCTTAGTTACTATAAACAGAGTTAATATGATTATTTAGTAATTATTAAAAAAAATGCATGATATTTTTACCAGGGTAGTGATCAGAAATTATGTACGAATAAAAAAGAAAAAGAAAAAAATACAGCAATTTTTTCCAAGCTTGTTAGGCAAAAGCGCGATCTATTTTCTTTTCTTTTAGCATTTATAATTTTCGATTATTTCTTAAAGTGCAGAATACTTGTGATTGCGAATTCATCTCGTTTGAAGTATTAAAGATAAATTTAATGTAATGTATAATTTTTAACCAATCGCAAATAACGAGATAATAAGAATAAAGTATGAAACGTATTTGATAATATTTAAATTAATTTATCCCTTTCCGATAATCAATAGTTATGTATCTTTAGATACAATATACTGAATCGATGTGTAACGTTACATTTATATCATGTTCTACATGATATTTAATTAATTTATATTCTTTCAAAAATGAACAGGATAATCCATTACACCACTTTGAGTTACAAAGTCCACACTTTACGGTATAGATTTAATAAATAATTTTTCTTAATGATAGAAATGCATTGCAACAACAGTGAAACCGCGATACACATCTCCGTCACTTTTCTTTCACGACAAGCGACATCAACACCACTGTACTTTATTATCGCAGCCCAACAGTGAAAAGGATAGAGCATCGGGCGTTACTTTACCCTTTTTGACATCGACCAATTTTCAGCGGAGAGATAATTAAAAAAAAAATGAAAAAAGAGATGACACACTTGCATGAAGCACACGCCACATGGAACGATCTGCGAGGTAGAGGCTGGAAAGAGGCAGAAAGGCAGAAAAAGAAGAAAGTAGAAAGGAAAAAAGATTATTAGTGTTCACGGTTGACCCATTAACATGAAGAATTTTTATGTTTAATTTTGTAACAGAACTATACCGAGAAAAAAATTTTTATAAAAACGGCTTTTTTCATACATACTGTATTTTCATTTTTTTCTACGTCAACATATAATGTATGAATCTAAATAACGTTTCCCTGTCAACATTTTCGTAAAATAAATTCCGTCACAAAAACTAGAAACCCTTATAAAATCATTTATATTCATACGGATATTTTGTTTAATGGGACAATCGCTGACACAGAATATAGTGTCGGTGTTTTGACGCCAGAAACCATGCAACACCATGAAATATATTTTCCTGGATTATATTAAATTAATATCTTGCTTTTATTTGATATGTTATATTCAACAATAAAATAAATTTCTGTCGCAATTCACCGACAATTAAGATGAAGAAATAAAAACAGAACAATTTGGATGTGTGATAAAGAAAAATCAACAAGGAAATGTGTCGCCTAAAGAGGATCTGGAGAGACAAATAGGATGGACTTCGTTAAGAGGAAAATGCTGAACGAGATACTTAAAATAGTCGTCAAATTAGAAGAAATATTTGGAGAGGACAGAACAAAAGCGCAAACAAAAATAGGACAAATAAACAAGAATTGGGAATAATAAAAAAGAAATAGTCGTGAGAATTAATGTATCAAGAAAAAGGAAGAAAATGTGAGAAATGAAAGAAAAAGAAAAAAGGTAGAAAAAGAAAAAAGAGAAAGATAGATAGAGAGAAAGAGAGAGAATGCATTACCGCAATGCTAGCCCGAGATTGTGCGGCCTTAATGTGGGCTTGAAGGTGCAGAGGGGGGTGGAAATAGCGGCAGGGGTCCCGATTGCATCGGCCCTTGACAGCGTCCATGCAGACCGTCACAGAGCCGTCCTCGTTCGCCTGCACCGTCTCGAGGGGGTGCGCAAACCGGCACTCCGTCTCGCCGCGTTTGCACGCCCCGCGTTGAAACTCGCGACATACCTACAGCAAGAGCGAACACGCATGGCATGGCACTCTATCTATGTGGGCAAAAGGGGTTTGGGGGCTATAGGCTAGGGGCTGGCTGGCTTGGCAGGGCCAAGGGCACAAAAGTCAGAGAGAGAGAGAGAGGGGGAGAGAGAGAGAGAGACAGAGAGAGACAGAGAGGGTCATAAAGGAGAGGGTAGCTCAAGAAAATGGGTGAGGCGATTGTTCAAACGGTCGCTGGTTCTTCTCCGATTACGATCGCATGTCACACTGTTCGATGGTTGCTTGGAGCTAGATGGATAAGACAGATGGATATATACATAGAGGGAAAAAGAAAAAATGAAACGGATGATCTCTTGGTTGTCTCTTAGTGATGAAAGAACGATGATATAGTATTGTGACATCGTGATATCATAAATGTAAATATCTCATTGATTTGCAATGGACATTTGAAAGAACCTTACATTTTATGATGCGTTTCCTGTATTGATAATAAAAGTTTAATTTTCTATGCTCTTTTTATATACGTATTTGATGGTAAAAAAATAGATTTTCATTTAAATAACTTCTCGAAATATAAACGGATGTATCTAAATGTCAAATGCCAGTACTATAATAATTTGTAAAGTCATGTTCAAAAATATAGGTGCATCAAATTATAATAATTCGGAAGCAACAAAATATACATTGTAGAGCTATCGCCAGTGTTGCGATCGACATGAGTTTTCTTATCGATATGGCGTATGATGCACTTGACGGAAAAACTTCGCAAAGAGTCGTATGAAAGGAATTCCGGACCGACTCGAATAGGACAATAGCCGATATTGAATAGGAAATTGAGATTTTTGTGAACAGCAGATACACTGAGGAACATTGGCGCGTTACGGAGCGGGATTTTTCTACTTTGGCGAGGACGAGCATTGGCCGTGGATACACGTTGCGGAACATGCGAACACGCAAAAAGTCAATTAATCACTGGCTGGTAAAGTAAACAACTTCAAAGCGTCACTGCATCGTAATTTTACGGCGCTCTTAAAAGCTGTGGTCCCTACGTAAAAAAAAATCCTCTTGTCGCGGATTAACTTTACTGGCACAGAGCGTTAATTTATTAAGCAAACAAGATCCTTTACATCGTCGCGCATTCTTATTCATCGCGTGAGCTTGTATATAAATTAGTTCAACAGTTTATTTTAAGAGCAATTTAAATAAAATTCTGAAATGTTGCTAAAATGGATAAATTATGTACGTGCTTACTACTTACATTACATAAATTCTAAAAACTGATTTACGCTATATATAAAATAAATAATTCTTGCAAAATGACATATTTATGGTCTATTATAAATTTAATTTTCGCGAAACTCATTAACGTATACGAGATAGAAACTTAATAACGTGTATCCACAGTTGACACCTGGCCGCATAAAGACTACTGGCTAGGCTTTTAGTGTATTTGGCAGCCACAGAGCTCGTGCCGAACCTGGCGAAATGTACAGGCGGGACTACGTCGTTCTTTTTACACAAGATGGATGTATACAATGAGGCAATAAAATATGCATAAAGAGGAGAGAAACTAAAAAAAAGGTAGGGTGGATAAAAAAACATAGAGAAAGATAGAGAAAGAGAGTATTGAAAGAAATGAGAGTGAGAGAGTAGTAACGTGTAGCTAGCAATTGGATCGAGTAACGCGAAAGAGCGTTCCGTTTGTGGACTTCGGGTCTGTTTCGGGGGAGGCGTTAAAAAGAGCCAACCTGACATTCCTTTCTATCGGTAGTTCTTTCTTTTTTTCTGGCCGTTGGTACATTATCCTAGATGCTTTTTGACACTTTTCAATTAGCTTCGAGGTTTTTTATACTCGATTCTCTATCGCGTATCCATTGGTTTTCTATGTGCCTTTTATTTTAATGGAAAGGATATTCAACGAACAATGGTTTGTAAAACAAGTGTAAAACTGTTTGCTCACAGATACATATATATATCCGACGTAACGCTCATAAGAATTGTCTCGTACTATGAAAACACGAGTATTTTTTGCCAGAAGTGGAGGGTCCGCGACACGGCCAGCCGACTCGTATTACCGGGTTAATTTCGAGAGACTGGTGCTTACCAACGCCCAGAAAAGGGAGAAATTAGATCACTCTACTCTCTACTAATGGAGCTAAAATACCGTGTTCAAATCTGTCAAAGAGGCGTAGCACGCCGTTACTCGGTGCACCCTCGCCCCGCCCAATAAGGTCGAAGGACACGGGGTTTGGATGGCGATCGGGGAGGACAAGGGGTAATAATAAATGCCTCCACGAGCATCCTCCGGTGTATTATCAATCGGGTTAATATACGCATGTGTTAAAGGAAACTGCACATGCATGTCACGTACCATTCCCTGTGCATTTTCGCCGAACCTCTCATCGAGAGAAGTAGGAAGTTGAATAAGACCTCGAATGGTACTTGGTAGATTCTTCTTAAAATTTAAGTAATTGCGAAGATTATTAGGGAAAAAAGTATCAATCCAAAAAATATTTTGTGGTAAATAAAATTTAAAAAATATTCGTTGATGCAGTCAAATAATCATATTTCTACACCGAGAGAAAAATTTTTGATACTTGTGACTATAATTACATATTACTATAATTATGATTATGATTACTATGGTATTAGTAATGATAATTATATTTTGGGACAACCACATTAATATGATTGTCCCTCAAGTATATATCTCTATAATTACAGTTATTTGAATCATTTTTATGTAATTTTAACCATTTTTATAGTTTCAATAACTACAATTATAGTCATTTTGGTTTTCAACTATACATATGTATTAGTTGATAGAACTATACATATAGTTACTATTATTAATACCACAGTAGTCATAATCATAATTATTAGTAATATGTAATTATAGTTATAAATATCAAAAATTTTTCTCTCATGTCAGTATAGATATCATTGCAGCGTAAGAGAGGATGAAAATCTACTTCTCTCAAAGTGTGAGACTCAAAGCATTCTAGAGTACCATGCACATTATAATTTTGAAATCTACGTTAAAGCTTCGTTGTTAAGTATAGAGCATTATCCGTTAGTTATATTTCCTGATTGAACTTTTTCATTTTACATAAGATAAATCTACTTCCATGTGCAGGCATCGCGCTCGTACATGGGACATTTGTGCTCAATGGCAGCGCCAGCGGGATAATAAATGTAATAGTGCATCACGAGCGTCACATCCGCGCGCGGAGTGTCGCTCGCTATGTTTGCTTTACTTTCGCGCCTGCCTTGTTCGAGCGTGTTAATTCGAGTGCACGCATTCGGGCGCTCGAGTGTGAACCGCGAGTTAAAGTGCCCGCTTTCGGCAAGCTGGAAAGCTCGTTAGGAAACGTACACGTATACAGACAGTGAACGGTTAACGAGAGAGAAAGAGAGACACATGTACACACACATACACACATACGCTCTGCATACATATGCAGACGACACACATGAGCTGCGTGCAGAGACATAAGATACAGTGGCTTGTGTAGGCAGCTACAGAGAAAGAGAATGTAAGTGCGTGTATGTGTGTGCGGGTGTATATGTGTATCGTATCGCGAATTGTTACGAGACAGATAGTGTAGTTGACACCGCGACTAAAGTGAGAGACAGGTGCGACGAATGGTCCTTTTGAGTTCCTAATTAACAACGCACGGTCGGCAAGTGGCACACACCGCGCGAGAGAATCAATTTCAAGTAACACTAATTTTCCTCACCCGAGGAAAATTACACGATAAACGCGATATGCTCTAGTTCGTGTGAGCGACATTTGAAACGCGAGTGAAATCTTGGAGTTATGCAAAAAATTATTATTGTTTAATTTATATTCTGTCGTAAAACGACATCGTACTCGCAATTTATGTAATAGTAAAATATTTCAGGATTTAATTAATTACTCCATTTAACATATATAGAAAGCAGTTAGTTAATTAGTTCAATTTTATCATTGGAAAAATTTCCTCTTGCTTGCTTGTATTACCGTTCTGCAAATTAAATTGCTCTAAAGCAAACTTTTTAACTTGTTACAGTATGTTACTATTACTCTTCTTGATATAATTCCTGTAACCGATTCTCAACAGAAAGACTGATTGATCGGTCATTACTAATTATCTTTAAATGTCTTTCAAATGAACCATTGCGCACAAATAATTAAATTCGTAAAAATCACGTTCTTCGTATGTATACGTATGCGTAAACAATACTTGACAGGGATATGCATAATTGCAATGCGCAATGTTATTACATATTTTACCCGCGCTTCGTATATCCCACTTTTATTCATAAATCCGTACTTTACTGAAAATCTTCTATCAGAAATTTTTCTAAAACGCCCGAGAAAAGCAATGTGAAAAGCAGTATTAACAGAACGAGTAGCATCGCGTGCATCGTTCCTTGCGAGAGAAATTCGATATAAAATATCGCTTTGTTATCAGCTATAAAAGACGTGAAAAGAATCTTACTATATTGCACAAGCATACACGCGTAACACTACAGCGGTTGCAGAAAACAAAAAACCAAAGAAAGGGAACTTAAAGTCGTGAATAACTGTATTATGTCTCGATGTGTGTTGTGTCGGTTGCATGTTCGTTTAAAACGTACGCGGGTATTTGTCCACATAACGACTGTCTGTTGTATACAAATATACATGTTATATGTAAATATATATATGCGAATAATGCGCCAATAAATATCAAAAATTCGCATGCGATCGCATAATGTAAAGCACCTCCTCCTAGCTGTAAAAATAAACACTTAAATCGCTGCTGATGTATACGACAATTAATAGAATTAGTAAATAAGTGATGTGTTTGCGATTGCGAAGAACAGAAATCATAAGGTACTCTGGCGCTGAAAAATGAGATACACATGTATATATATATGTGGGTATATCGCACACTCGTAAATTTGTACATATAGAAATGTATATATAGATATATACATATATATATATATATAGTCGCCAAAAATTATATATTGCCGAGATACAC